ATTTATGTAAGTATATATGTATTCTATATATATATATATATTTGAATAATATATTTTTTTAAATAAATAATAATAGGACAAAGAGAGTTATGGAGAGAAGATGTTATAAGAGATATAATTATTGAATATGTTGGATATCTTCATAAACGATATATGTCTTTAAAAGAGAAAATCGAAAGTAATAAAGTGTTTAATAAAAGAAGAGCACGAAAAATTTAGATATATACAGCTTATATAATACGTATTTTTAATCTTTGTACAACTTAATATTAATTATTGGTAATATAATTTGCATTAATTCTATATATATATAAATATATTAGAAAGCAAAAAAATGATATAAGTGTGCAAAACTTATAGATCTTGATGAATTAGGTTATTTTTTATCTGATATTGAAAAGGTAATAAAACCTGACTATGCAAGTCCAGAAATTAGTAGCAAAGAAAATGAAGAAGATATATTTTATATTGTTCAAATTCCATGGTGAAATCAAAGTGTAAGTTTATAGTTTAATATAAATTTTGTTTAATTAATAATATAACATTTATTTTATATTTACATAGCTTTGCGAACTAATTCAAAAACTTAATCAAGAAAATGAAAAAAAAGAAAGATCTTCAAAGCGTCAAAAAAAACACAAAGGTAGTCCATTTACGTTAAGTATTGAAGTAAATCAAGATCATGAACAATTTGATGATTTAAAGATCTATTTACCTGTTGCTTCTAATTCAAATGATGTTAATGATGGTATTTGGCCAGCTTGGGCTTTCCAGATAATTACGATGATACTGATCATGACTTTGAATCTGATAATTAAATTGTTTCTTAGATAAATATTTTAATATATTTTTATAATAATTTAAATAATAATTTAATATTTATATTATATTTTTAATAGAAAACAATTCAGTAAGTTATGATAAATATTTAATTTATATAGTTATATAATTTGTATTATTTAGCATTTAGCACAAATATATAGTAAATTATTAGATAATATATAGAAAATATATAGAAATAAATAATTATTTACACCAAATATTAACGATATATTTTATAGTAATATATTTATATATATTCCAATAAATATATAGTAAATTATTCGATAATATATAATAAATATATAGTAAATTAATTAAATAATATACCAAATATTAATGATATATTTTATAGTAATATATTTATATATGGGGTCTTTCACATTAAAAGGGCCCATTTTGCAAATTTTTTGAAAAATGAGTTTTTATTAGATTCATGTAAATTTTAACATGACTGACTTTTTCAATTATAAATGAAAAGTGATTTGTATAATAAAAAATAGAGATAATTTAAAAGAAAAATTGTATGAAGCTGTCTAAGATCAAGCACAGCACAAGATTACCCAATAGTTACCTGTTACGTTTGATCAATCAAAATCGTGAAATTTGCTTAATCTCTGATCAGTCCGAAAATCAAAACAAATGATTAAACTCAATTATCTCAAAATTGTTTATATTGCAAAATGGGCCCTTTTAATATGAAAGACTCTATATATTCCAATAAATATATATTAAATATATAGTAAATTATTCGATAATATATAATAAATATATAGTAAATTAATTAAATAATATACCAAATATTAACAATATATTTTATAATAATATATTTATATATATTCCAATAAATATATATTAAATATTTAGTAAATTTATTAGATAATATATAGAAAATATATAGAAATAATAATTTGTACTAAATATTAACTATATATTACTATATAAGTATAAATATTTTAAAATCATTACTTAATTATATATAGTAAAAATATAAATAATATTTAAATATATTTTTTATATATTTTTAAAATATTTTTCTAAAAATATATATTATTTGTATCAGTGATATGGTGCCTTTATCAAAGGAGCCCCAGACAAGTACATTCTGATGAGAATACATTTTAGCCATATCTGCACCTTTTGGGTGCCTAATTAAGTATTTTATCTGTGTGCTAGATGCTATATTAGATGCCGTACCTGTAACTCACTATTATTTAAGCTACCCAATTAAACCTTCTGATCTGAGTTTCCTATATCAATCTATCTAACCTTACCCAGAACATGCAATACATAAGTTAGTTAAGTTTCAAAATCATCATGTCCACCTATAGGACTACTAATATGGTTAACCGATTCATTCTTAAGTACATCATCTGCTAGAGCAGTCCAGTATCCACTTTTCCCATATTATCTAGTCTTCTTCAATAACTTATGCTGAGTCTGAGAACAAGTACCATAAACTGCTATATAAAAAACCCAGATCTCTTATATTCTACTAAAATAATTAATTAGTAAAAAAAAGAAAATAATTAGTAAAAAATAGGGGTGGGTCTAATATATGGGGGGATCTTATATACAGTAGTTTATAGTATTTGTGAGCTGAGGCTGCTACAGTTACCTATTACTGCCCTTATAGAGTTCACCCAAACCTCGGTACACCTACAAACATTTTCTGGTTTCTCAGTTATCCCAAACTACCAATTCAGATAGCTCGGAAGAGCTATGACCTGCTCCTGGTCCTCACAATTGGGTCCTTTTCCTCTAGTTACTCCTCTGCCAGCCTGGTTGGTGGAGTGTCTTGCCGAACACTTTGGTCCCGTTCAGTTTATCTGACTTTTCTAGGTATTAATCTGCATATAGTACTATTGAAGATCTGTGCTATCTCTCTATTTGGAACTTCTAAGTGAGTGTTTTACTGCTGTATTGATACTGTGGCTTTCTGTGATTTTGAAGGACTATTTTGGATTTGCACTAACTAAACCAGCTTGTATGCCTTTGTATAACTCCTTTATTATACAAATGACCAGAACCTTCTAATTTTTATCTTGGTACGACCACAGTTACAGGGTCTCAAGTTTTCTCAGCCACGACGATAGTTGCTAAATCTGTTTTTCTAAATTCAATTTTTTGCTTTCTGTGAGAATTGAACTTATACTCTATCGCTTGGGGTGTGACAACTTCACTACTTTACTAAGTTGCCACACCTGATAATGGAATATTCCAAATGCTTTGAAAAACCATAATCATAATACTTTCTGACTGCAATAAATATTACATTTATTGAGTTTATCATTTTGTTAGTAGTTTTTTGTTTGTTACATGAATTTTTGGTGTTCTACATATTTGTCGGGTGGCGATTTTACCCCAGTCGACATGTATCAATATGTATAGAATTTATCGTTATTTGTATAATGTTTCACATATATACTGTATAACATACTTAATATTTTTTTATATGGATACGTGAATTTCTATGTACATAGAATTTATTTATTTACATACCTTTTCGCATATGTATATATATATTTAATAAGAATTTACCTTTTTACCGTTGGTATCTTTTGCCTACCAAAAAGTTTCTTTGTTATAATAATTAAATATAAATATCATTAAGTCACTCTTTTTAAAAATAAATATAACATGGGTAGTAATCATGATATTTGGAACCATTTTACAAAAATTGGATCGGTTCTTGCAATGTGTTTGGATTGTCAATCGTAATAAGTGTCGGTTTATAGATTGTATATTGTATTAATAAGGTCTGAGCTTATTAATAATAAATACTGCCTTTACCCTACTTTACATGTCTATCTATTCTTATGTGTATGAGATTATATAGTTTCATATTTATGGTTGGCCGATGGCAACGATCAAAAATTTAGGCAAATTACTCGAATTGTTACTAATGAAATCGTGGCCGTCCATTAAGCGAAATATGTTTCTGGGCTAATTTTACCATTACACAGGCCCAAACTTTAAAAATTTCTTATATTTTTGCATTTAAAAAAATTAAAAATTAAATTCCGGCCAAAATTATATATAATGTGGCCAGAATTTTGTCGATCACAGCCGTTGGCCAATCAAAATCGAGGATCAACCGCGGCACCTATGAATCCCGCGCGGGATTTTTGGAAAACCCGCGATTTGCCCATCTCTACCTATAACCCATTACATCTCTCTGACCAATAAAACATATTGAGGCCAGATTGTAGCCACATAGCTTTAAAGAGAATCGGCTTATAGTATTATCTGGCGACGAAGTGAATCTAAGACATAGATCCTTGCATTGCCAATAACAGCCGCAGAGCCTAGCCACCAAAAATGAGGTCCTAGCATTGCATACAGCAGCTATGAAGCAACTGAAGTCCATGCATTGCCTATG